AATCATTCTAAGCAACATATGGCAATCTGCGGTCTTTCCTTGCACTTAGGTGGCACGGAAAGCCGTAAAAATCTTGAACAAAAGCTCATCTTTCAAACCGGCAGTCTAAATCCCACAGGGATCAATGAACGCTTTTCATTCCACTAATTTATTCATGTTTTTCTCGTTGCCATGCACCCACCAATAACGTAGCTCCATTTTCTGCCTTTAAAAGCACACACAACCCACAATTCCTCTATTCGCTCCGACGAAGGGCTAACGCTCGAAACGTCAGCTTTTGTAATCATTACGGTGGCCAATTTACCATTTCAACTTTGTTGATATATCCAAATTATTTCGTTACTCCCACCGACGCAGCCCCAAACAGTTTCTTTCGAAACTATCAGCTTTATTTCTGTGTTATGACTACATCCATGGCTGCTATTCAAGGATCGGTTTACAATGGAATTAAAAGAAAATCGAAACTCAGCTATTCTTGCACACTGCGTCATTTCTCACATCCTTCACACTGAAAAATACCTCCCTTATTTTTGTCCCTTCTCTTTTTACATAAGAAAGAGTGGCAACTACAGTCGAACCTGTATTAAGCGACATTACATTAAGTGGTCAGTTGTGATAAAAGTCCCGCATTTGCCTTCCCTCAATAACTGTAATTTGCACCTCTATTTAGCAATCATCATGACCAGGCGGTCGCAGTTACCATTTACTTAGTTCTAACTCCCCGTTTTTATTGTCCTCCACTGAAAGCAGAGCTAGTCAAATAATACTGAGAATAATCCATGTTTCTTTCCCAAAATCAAAGTAAGTAGTATTTTCAAGCGAGATTCTGTACATTAAGTGGTCAATTAGGGCGTGAAGTGGCTTCGTTTATCATTTTTTGCAATGCCCTTTATCCCCTTTATCAGAACCATATTCAACCTGTATTTGGCGGTCACCATTCGCCGTGGGTAACCGCTCAGTACAGGTTTGACTGTGTTTTAGTTAAAAGGAGTGAGACTTGTTTCATATAATACCTTCCCTTCCAGAATTATCCGAAGGAATATTTTTAAATTTTTAAATATAGTGATAGAACACATGTTCAAAATTTCATCCCTAAACTTGCATGTTGCATGGAAACCTGTGATCTTCACACAAGCTATAAAGGTCTTTTATCACTAATTTACGCAGCTAAGTACTCAATTACATTTTTGTGTCGATAATAGAACGAGTTATGGATAACAATTTCAACCCCTGCAAAGCTGTTAGAACCAAAAGACTTGGCCTTTTTTCCTTTTTCAAAATCGATATCACTTTGTCAATATGTGTGCCTTCTCTGTGATATCACAAGCCGACAACAATCAAGTTGTAAGGTGAGAGCTACTTGTTTAACGAAAGCCACTCACATATACTCTATAATTTGTCCTCAACAAAAGCATAACATTCATATTCGTTAACAATCTCTACAGGACCAAATAAGCATAATGCCGTCTTAAGACAGAAGAGAGTACGTAGTTACAATAGTCAAAACATTTTCAATTTACAGCCTGCTAACAGTATATAACAATTCACCAAGAAAAGATGTTACCTAAATCGGTGTTGGTAATTTTAGAAAGTGCCCTTGGTGATGGAGATGCTTACATGTAGTTATGAAATATGGAAGTATTTCATATTTTGGGCAAAAAAGCGCAGCTAAGTTGCATTACACACTAAGAGAACAGGTATCTTTTTTAAACTGTTTAGCTGGTGCAAGCAAGCAGCTACAAGAACAAATAGCACATAAAGTATTAGAGCAGAGGAGAAAAAACAGAAACAAAAAATAAAATAGAAAAAAATGTCGAAGGAGAGGGAAATTTTTTCCCCCATATGGTGCACAGGACGAATGTTCTTATTTCAGTGCCTTTAGGCAAAATCTAAAGCAGTCTTAAAGGTTGAGTAAAGCTTTAATCGTCTTTAATTGTCAAATGAAATATCGGAAAGCTAACTCTAACCTTTAATGAATCTTTAATTGAACATAAGTTTAACTTTAGTAGCGCAAATCTTTCAGTATCCTTTAAGTGGTTTCTTTTTTGGCACAAAAGAGGGTGTTTCATTAAAATACATTTAAGTTGACTTTAAGGTGAGATTTAAATGAGTATAGCTGTTCTGACATCTTTAATTCATGCATTAAAGATAGTCTCATTGTAATCTGAACTGTCAACAGAAAATTCATCACAAATCAGCCAACACTTGCACTGATGAGCCAGAAGAGCAAATTTTGTTTTACGTGCAGCAACGTGAGCTCACAATTCTTTCTGGGGTCGAAACATCTTATTGAAAGCGACGGTTTCATTTTTGCATCTCCTTTAAAGAGCGCATGGAGTGCGATGACAAGATTCCTATACAAAACTCGCGCGCGAANCTTTTTGTGTAGTTTGTTACTACAGCTAGTTATATAATTTGTGTATTTGTCATACTTTTATAGTGGTAAATATTCTATTACCTGCTTGACGAAGATTATATTATACATTGACAAAAGTGAAACAATTTTAATAAAGTATGTCAATCAGTAATTCAAACATTTGGACATCTCTTTTTTTAATTATGTATGGGGCTCGACTGGGATATCCTCAGCTTCATTGTAGGTTTATGTTATCTCAGGGGAACAAATGAGTTTTGAACGAAACTATTTCATCACTGCAATTTCAAACACTTTGTTATTACTTGAATGTGTGATGCTTCTTTTTCTATCAATTGTAAGGTTGCCCAAAATATCATAAGTTATTGGGATATAAATGAGGGTGTGATTAAGCAAATCAAAAGTCAGTTGAAAGTGAAACCTGCAGCCTTTAGAGGCGCTTAAAGGTCACTTAATGATGAATGTTAACAAAACTTGAAATTTAAGAGAATCAGAAAGTACAACTAAAGATGAATTACAACAAAACCTGTAACTTTAAGCAGTACTTAAAGGGAAACAAAAGATTGAAGAAACCTTTAAGATGCATTTACAAGTGGAAGTTTTGGTTGACTAAAGTTGACTTTACAAGAATTAAGAGGATTCCTAAATTCAATTAAATGGTTATTTAGGTTTGCTTTCATGTGATCTTAAAGTGTTCATGAAATGGTTATTTAGGTTTGCTTTCATGTGACCTTAAAGTGTTAACTAAATGGTTCATAAGGACACTTTAATTGACTTCGGAAAGTTCAATTAAAGATACATTTCAGAACTTTCGTATGTCACCTAAAGATGACTTAAATACTTCTAATGTTAACCTTTAAGTTACCTTTAAGGAAACTTAATTTAGTTATTTCATCCTGTGGTGGGTCCTGAACTCACACGAGATTCTTAAATTCCCGACAATAACATAAATAAAAAGTACAAAAAAAATCAAAATAGTCAACTTGAATCATCCCTCCATTGTGACAGCTTGGAAATGGCAAAGGTGAAAAGAGATTTTACACGAAAATCCACAGTTGATTCAACTCAAATTAAGAAATTCCATCAGAGCCCTTACTATTTACTGCGACAAAAAAAAAAAAACATCAATGACAATTGCAGCATTACGGCAGGTAACCGCAACTATTTGTAAAGATATGATGTATTCTTTCCTACACTGTACATCAATAAACATTGTTGTAAAATCTCTTCCACAACTGTTGTTTCCAACACATCTGTTTACTGTTTGATATCTTGTGATGTTAGCAATGGTCAGCAGCATTCCTGATTTCACGACCTGACTAGTCGTTAAATTCTGCCAAAATTGGTTTATGCATAGGGGCGTCCCTGAAGTTAAATTACACACTCCCACCATATTTTCTCTTTCCTTGACAATTACATTTTGTGTCTGTTCTACTGCGGGTGGGTCTGGCAGGAATAATAGAAAATATTGTTGAACTCGTCATTAGTAGCTAAATCAATTAGCAAAATGATAAACTTTTACTATCACTGAGTGTCCCTAAAGAGGGTTTATTGTAGATTAAATGTAAGAGCTCTGAATAATGATACCAAACAGACATGTGCTCTTTATTTCGGCCGGTGACCTGTTCGCTACAGTGAAGTTAGGCATTACTCTCAAGAACTGTCCCCTCACTATTAAAAAACGGCTCTTAGCACAGAATCATGTCTCAGGTTCCTGCATCATAAAGTGACTGGGAGTAATGCTACTCCCCCTGGATGGGATGCTGGCCCACTGCACATTAACCTTCAGCAATTTACTGGTTGCCATTACAATTTTCTGTTACCTATTTACACTCCTCAGGGATATCATGATAAATTATTTTTAATGAATACAACACAACAACCCTGACCAAGAACTTTGTATTCCTTCAGACTTAATCACATTAACTGGTGCTTCTCTGAAAAATGTTACATATTGATGGCGCAAAAAGATCACAAAGTAAGAGATTTCTATGGGCCACATTAGCAACTCGAGGCTGCAAGTTTTCTGGTAAGATTAAGATTACTTCAAATAATGATTATTGCTAAGAATTTTTTACTGGCTATAATTCCAACTAGAAATATTGTAAGAGACATTGCTGCTTTTCCTGAAATTTGTTTTCTGTCGTACGTTATTGAATGATGAAGTCCATTTTATAGATATTTTTCATTTTAAAACAATGAATAGTTTTTGTTGAGTAGCCCAACATTGCAAGAGTCATTTTTTGATTTACATGTAATTTTGTATAATTTATGAAATAGTCCAGTGATGGAATTCATGGTAACATAATTTTTTGCATTAAAAAACAATTAAGAAGCAGTCTTTCACTAAACAGAATTTAGGTTATTTGTCATGGTTAGTTGCACCTAATGAATTAAAGACATGAATTTCATACTTCAGTATGAATGCTAATCTGACTCGGCCAAGTGTATAACACTGCTGAATGCATGCCATATGAACTAATGGTTGCATACATGCCTGTCAGTACATATTAATTAACCTAGCTGTAGCCATTCATTTATATCTTGAATACTTTCTAAGTATACTTAAAGTAAACTGTACGTGTCACTTTGTCACTAGTTGTTTTACCCTTGAAGCATACTTGGAGTGTACTGCAAAATTTTCAGTACCTTTCAAGTGTAGTTCGAGTATATACTTTTGGGTGTTCCAATTTCAGGTGGGAACAAGTATACTTCTAGTAGCCCTTCAAACTATACTTCAAGTCTACTGAAAGTGTACTTTGAGTATCTTATTTGCAGTACACTTTGATTACAGAAATAGTAATATAATAAAAGTGTACTTAATTTTGATAAGCGCTACAAGATCTCTAAAACATTTGAAAATACTTGTTACTGATACTTGATATTGCTTGACAACTTAAACACTTGATTTAACATTATTACATGATAAACTTGATTTTAAGCAAGCTTCCAAGGATAGTATTTACCACAGTTATAGCCTGCCAGAGGGGCAAGCTGATTTTCTTTTTTTCCCTCACCCTGTACTCATTTCTATATTCATTGTTACCACCATGTGCAAGATTATGATCACTGAGGTATTTTTGAAGTTCTTTCAGTTAAGAATTGTTTTATGCTTAGCGTGCGTATATCGAGTTATGGATTCACGCGGGGAGTTTGGAGGGCACGAGAGAAGCGTAAGAGTTGCGCGAGGAGCAGCCGAGAGCAACTCTAGCTTCTTGAGTGCTCTCCAAACTTCCCAAGTGCATCCATAACTCGATATACGCACAGCTAAAAGCATGAAACAATTCTTTTATAACATACCAAAAAACAATTTGGGAGCTGAATGACGTTTTTGTAATGGTTTTTTGAAATAAAAGTTGACCGAAAATGTTGGCGTCTCCGATTGTTTTGTTGATTTTGTAACTAAATGGTTTTCGGTAGAGTTAACAAATGTAACCAAAAAAAACCTCATCAACAGAGACGTTTACCTTTAAAAGTCGCCACAGACCAATTTGTAGTCTTCTTAGTTCTTGCTGAATGTCTTTCAGCTAAAATTTTCTCCAGCTCCTGTTCCGATAAATTCGGGAAACGGACCTGTTGTGCTTGTTGGCTTGACTACTTGCGGGAAGGTCAAAAGCCAAAGGAAAGTTTCGTTGGTCTTCCATTTACTGATATCGCTTTCCGAAACTTTAACTTAAGGAACTCACACGACGGAAATTTTGCAGCTATTTTGAAACTGTACACGTCATTGTATTGAGCACGGCCGTGCGTACATAAAGATTTTGTTCATGTCGACGCAATCGGAATTAGGACTAGCGCGCGCGCTATGTTATAATTGACTGTTGGGTTGAATAAGGCAAATTTATCATAAGCATTGAATTTATCTAAATATCAATTAACTCTCTATGAATTTTCTCAATATTCCTGGAAACAATTTGACCAGCAGTTCCTCTTTGAGTTGATGTGCATTTGATTTCATGGGAACAGAATGGTACACAAGTTATTTTGGAATTGAAATATTAACTAATAAAGTCATTTCACTCAATGTCTCTAACATCAGAGAATGCATTGTCAGTCTTGTGAAACTGAGACCTCTCAGAAGGGGTAGACCATTGAGAATTCACCATTGAGAATTGACTTGACGAGACAAATTTACCCTATCCACTCCAAAGCAGATGGATCAGCGGTAAATTTTCCCCTAGGGTACTCCGGTGACAGTTTAACTGTCGAGTGCAAATATAAGCTACCCTGACTCCCCCAATGTATCTAAATTATCATGCCAAAGTTTTTTTTTCGATTGGTCGCGTACTTTTTCGCATCGCTTCAGCCAAAGTCCCTTAGGAATACACAGAACAAAAGGACTATTGTTTAATACTTAATGTGAGAAGCTTAGCCAGAACAATAGACCATCTCTTGATACGGTCAAGCATTCTGTACTTCCTTATTAGTGCAATATTCATACAAAATTTAAAATTAGGGGCCAGCTTTATAGATAAGTCTAACTACCATAATTCACAGAATCTCATGCTAATCCCTAAAAAAGATTGTATTAAAACTGTATGTGGCATAATACTTTACCTGCACCTACAAATAGTTTACATCAATAAGGCAAAATGAAAAGGATTAAAAATAGCTGGAGGTACAAGGTGTACTCACAAGTTACATTGACAGAGATTGTACGATTGACTGGACTTCCAATCCCATTGTCAGCTGTACAGCGGTATGTTCCAGAATAATTTCTGGTGATGTTTGCAATATTCCAGGGATTTCCAACAAACAATACTTTCAAGTTGTTTTTAGTACCATCCTCTAACACTGTGGTCCAGGTGATGCTTGGGGCTGGTTTACCAGTTGTATTGCAATACAAATCTAGTTTAGGACCCTCGTCTACAGTCCTGTTATGAGTATGTGAAGTTATCTTTGGTGGAACTGAAAATAAAAAAATGTAGCAATGACACATATTTAAACTTGGTGCTCTTTTTTTTTCAACACGGTTAAAAATGTTTATCTTTATGGAAGCTGCTTGCCAAAACTGATAGTAGAGATTAGTATTCACAAGACTTACTATGAGACATCTGATTGGTTGAGAGCATTCAGTCAAACTATAGTAGCACGTGAAGTTGACATTATAACCCAATATCTGTATCCTATTGAGTTCAAAGTCTGCCTAGTTTCCAAGCCCCTGGTCTGTGAAGGGTCATCAAACTTTCAGAAAAATGGCTAAATGCTTCCCCTCTGTTTCCGATGTAGGAATCACAAGTTTTTATAAAAAAAAAAAGATTCCAAAAACACCAACAAATTCTGAATGAGTAATTTTTTTAGGGAGAAGAACCTGTAAGAGCCACAAGATAAAACAGCTTTTCCCGGTGTTCTGAAGAAGTTTAATATGCCGGTCCTAAAAAAAAAGTGATTGGAGCCTGTACTCGAAAAGTTCGATGACTTTTCACCATTTGGACTCAAAAGACATTTCATGGAAAAAGTTACTGACATTATCAAAGATGAAATAAACAATTTTTAATATAAGAGAAAAATCGAGTTTCGAGATGGAATTTGAACCCACGACTCTCCGTGATCTACTTGGATGCTCTAACCACTGAGCTACAAGAGACTCTATGGTGAGCAAGGGTCAATTAGTGGGGAAACTCGATTTTTCTCTTATATTAAAAATTGTTTATTTCATCTTTACATGCTCACTTTGGGGGGTGGTTGGCTGCATGTGATGCTTTAATGCATGTGATGCTTTAATGTGACAGCGTGATGCTGTTAGTGAGCTTCTATGTGCTAGCTGATGTTTGGCTGTGTAGCCGCGTGATGCGGTTCCAGTCAATACCCACTAATTGACCCTTACTCACCATAGAGTCTCCTGTAGCTCAGTGGTTAGAGCATCCGATTAGATCAAGGAGGGTCGTGGGTTCAAATCCCACCTGGAAACTCGATTTTTCTCTGACATTATCAAAGACCCAGAATTTGCCGAGGCAAACAAAGTATTTCTAGCAAGATGTCTTGAATTAAAATGGTAAAATAAAAGACTTTTCATCCACAACAGATGACAAAAGGCACTCAATGCATTTACAAATCAGATAAGTGTCTTCTTCATCAATGTTTTAGTAAAATGCATTATAAAACAGTTATTTACTCCAGTTTTTGCATGATACCATGAATTATCAAAACCTTGTGTTTGTGTTGTCTCCCTCAGCCTTGGCTTTGACAGATGACTCAGACATTTTGATTATTCATGATATTATGCTCAACCTCATCCAATAATTGCTTAATACTTGAATCCTAAGGAAAATTCAGTTTTTAGTTTTCTGCCTCAGATTTTCCTTCTGTTTAATCTGGTCTCACTAAACATATTTTGCTGGTGACTGAATGGAGTATATATTTCCCTCAACCACTTGCACATGTACTTCTCAAGCAACTTGAAATATTAGATCGATATGAGAAGCTGTGCTTTCTTCAATCATCCTACTACTCTACACTGTCAAATTTCAACTATCCAAACCTTGATTTTCTGTATTTTTTCACTTATCAGGACCTACTTCTGTGGTCCCAACTTCATTAACAACACTGTTAGTCACATTTGCTACCCGTAGCACCTTTTTTCATCCATCAAGATATGCGTGTAAGGAAACTACCATAGTGTTGGAGCTGAATTTGTTCAAATTTTTTCATGCTGTTGAACGTTTTAAGAAGTGTTGAATGTGGAATCAGAAAAAAAAATGTTGTTGCCATTCAACTAAAGCAGCTTCAAAGAATAATGGAATTTTCAATTCACTAGAAAGTTGGATGCAACCATGTGAGCAAGCTAAAGTTGCGTAATAGACAACAACTTCACGCCTTTCATTATCATAATTTCCAGTCAAAAATTGGGGTTTGTGATTACATCATAATCACATCACATGAGACACATGTATTGTATCCAGTCGTTTCGTACCCATGGATCTTTCGTACCCAGACCATTCGTACCCAAGCTCAGACATTTGGTACCCACTTTCACCCGATTCGCCTTTAATCTACCGCTTATAAGCGAATCTAACTATTCTCAAATTACCGCATACATGTCGCAAGGTTCAAGCGAAAGAGGAAAATTCATCGCTTTTATATCTGGTAAAAGGAGATCATGGATAAAATTCCACGCGTGAAGATTACTGAAGAACAGAAAAACATTCTGAAATCATTTCTTTTGTTTTGTTTTGTTTTCCTTTGTTTTGTTTTGTTTTGGCCTTTGTTTTGTTCTCGGTAATCTAATCTCGGTAGGTAAATAGGTCCTACTTTATCAGCATGTATGCGGTAATTTGAGAATAATTAGATTCGGTTATAAGCTGTAGATTAAAGGCGAATCGGGTGCCACTTTCGATCAGTTCGTACCCAATCCTCTGGTTGGTTCGTACCCAATAAATTATGACACAAATTTAATTAAATTAATCGCAAAACAATTAAGATGCACGCTCCCACGCGCAAGGTATATGTGAGATCTTATTTGTTATATTGTTGAACTTTATCGCGATAGATAGATGTGATTTTTTCTCTTTCATTTCAAAAGTATTAAATTAGAATATCGTAACAAAGAGAGTAAACAACATGAGCCTTAACAAACGAAATGGTCAGAATTTCGATCCTTTTGATATAAGGGTCCACCTTTAAAACGTTTTTGAGGGTTTTGCTTGCGAAACTTTTTGAAACGATTGAGATGCATATAAAGATATTTTTGATATACCTGTGTGAAAATCGCAATTCAAAGTAGTAATATTGAGATTCTAAGTGAAGTTGTTGTTTTTATACAACCATGCGGGACAAGTTAGGCTCCCAGAGACTGCTAAATTGACTGCCGCCATCAAGAGAAAAGCCACTGATGACCTGTTCCAGCCAGCATTAGCGATCGTCGATGAAGTACTGCTACAGGGAATGGAGACTGCTGCTGCTATGCCTACCCTAGCCAGACCCGAACATTTAACTAGAGCAGCGAATCGTTGCCGAAAGTCGATACGACCACAAGCTCCGGTCGACCTTGATTTCAAAATGGACGAGTCTAGTATCCCTGAGGGATTTCTTCGAGCAGATATCGAAACCCGAGGAAAACGACATCTGATCTTCGCTACTGAGGAGCAACTAACGCTGTTAAGTAAAGCCAAGCGGTGGTACGTCGACGGAACATTTAAGCTGTGTCGTCCGCCCTTTACTCAGCTCTTCACGATTAATGCCTTCGTCCGCCAAGACGACTATGCACAGCAAGTCCCGCTGCTGTTTGTAGTGATGTCCAGGAAAAGGAAGCAGGACTACGAGAAGGTGTTAAAGAAGGTGCTGAGGATCCTGTCAACTATCCCGAGCGTGGAGCAGGTTACCGCTGACTTCGAGAGCGCCGTGTGGGGAGCATTTTGAAAAGTCCTTCCGGAAGTGCAGTTGTCGGGGTGTGCCTTCCACTGGAATCAGGCCCTTTGGAAAAGAGTTCAAGAGCTAGGCCTTCAGACTGCGTATGTGGGAGACCAGGCTACAAATGGTTACATCAGGCGACTGATGGCACTACCCTTCCTTCCACATGAGACCATTGCTGCAACCTTCGACAGCCTAAAACCAGAAGCCAAGACGGAGCCTTTACAGCAGTTCGTCAGTTACGTCTAGGAAAACTGTATTCGCAGCACAGTTTGGCCTCCCAGGTGCTGGGGCGTATTTATGTAATCAATCAGAACAAACAATGACATTGAGGGCTGGGATCATAGCCTGAACAGAAGAGCCACTGGTCGATGCGGTCTGCTCCTCTACATGTTTGTGGCCCTACCGCACAAAGAAGCGAGACTAGTGTCGCTACAAATTCGTTGTCTCCGAGCGCAAGCTTAAGCGAATGCAGAGGTCCACCTATCGCGAAGTGCAGAGGCGGCTCTTCGAACTTTGGGAGGCCTTCAACAAGAAGGAGAAGTCACTGAGGCAGCTACTCAAAGGATGTGCCAATATAAACAGGTCAGTGATCCACTGAACTGAACTGAACTTACACATTATCTGCAATTACTACTAGGATTGTTATTTATTACTAAGCAGAATAAGTACGTTTAGTCGTATAGGCGCTCCGTGATAATGGGAAAAATATATTAAGATAGGTCAGTTAGGGAAACTAGGTCACGATTGTTCAAGAGTAAGATAACTTTTCAACGGTACTATGATTTAGAAATCAGCTTTTTTACTAAGTAGAATAGGTACATTTAGTCGTAGGCGCTGCGTAGTAGTATGCAAAATATATTAGGATGGGTCAACTAGGTCACAATTTTTCAAGAGTATTAACTAAAAGATAACTTTTTAATGTTTCCTTGATTAGAAATTAGCTTTTTTGTGATTACTAGATTAAATGTAATAAATGTTTCTGTTTGTTTTAAACATTTTATCATGATTTTTTGGGTAGGAATCGACCAGAGAGTTGGGTACGAGGTGATCGAAAGTAGGTAAGAACGTCTGAGCCTGGGTACTAATGGTCTGGGTACGAAAGATCCATGGATACGAAACGACTGGCAAGCAGAAACTCAGCTTATCTCGATTTTTGTGGGATTTGCACGGACGTAGTTGTTGGCTTGTATTATAGAACGTACTTGTCAAGGATGAACCTTTCGTAGCTATCTCAGACCAGCGAAAAAGATGCTTTTCATACCCATATGATATATAATAACAATAAAAGCTGTCGCTCACCCGTAATTTCCAATTGTATATTGTAAGCCCAGGTGCCCTCGTTAGTATGAGCTTTACACTGAATTGTGATATCTTCGATGTCACTAACGTTCTTAATAATCAAAGTGGCCACTTCACTTTTGTCGACAGCAAAACGATCATCATTGATTGTTAACAGGGAAGCAGCGGATAGAGAAGCAGTTTGTTTTCCATCTACGGTCCAAGCGGTTGCAAACAGTACTTCCCATTTCCCAATGTGTAGTTCCACCTTAGAGCCACGTTAGTACTTCCATTCAACACTGGAAAATGAACTGTTCGTATGTCACTTCCGTCGCTCGGAATCCAGCATGGTGGAGGAGCAGTCCATGTAAGGGATCCAGCTTTGAAACAAAATCGAAACAGGATAGAAATTCGCACGTTAGAAGAAGCTTCCACACATACATATCCTTTCACATCACACCAAAACGGGAGAGTTAAAAAGACTGACGCCCGCTCCGCGGACTACCCTACGGACTACTCTGCGGACTACCCTACGGATTACTCCACGAACTACCCTGCGAACTACCCCCACGGACTACTCCAAATAATCAACCAAATTTACTTTTCCTGGGGAAGAGACACAAGCCTACCTGCTCAACCTGCACGATCAAAACAGCCGCCACTTTCATTTCACCGACTTCCTCGACCCAGTCTTATTTTTAATATTGGCCCTATTCCTTATCGGCCATCAGTCTAAACACTGTTTCCACAATGGACGATCAGTAAGTGCTGCGGAATATTAATCTTTTTAATCTGCTTCAAGTGTTTGCCATCGACATTAACATTTGCTAAAAAGTAGCTCTTTTGAGCCTTCCTTACAATTGACGCCCCGCAAGAGGAAAGGACCACAAACAGGTGAACTAAATTTACTTTATGATGTTCTTAGCTGATTTGTATTACAAATGAACGCAAAATTTGCCCTTTTTAGTTTGAAATGTCTGTAAAATTAATCACGTTGTAATTTATCCAAGTAATTGTGGAAACATTGTTTAGACTGATGGCCGATGAAGAATGGGGCGAATATGAAGAAAAAGACTGGGTCGAGGAAGTCGGTGAAAAGAAAATGGCGGCTGTTTTGATCTTGCAGGTTGAGCAGGTAGGCTTGTGTCTGTTCCCCCGTATAAGGAAATTTGATTGATTATTTAAGGTGGTCCGTGGAGGTAGTCCGCGGAGTAGTCTGTAGAGTAGTCAACGGAGCGGGGTCAGTAGGTAGTCCGCCGAGCGGGGGTCAGTATTTTTAACTCTCCCCACCAAAACCTTTACCTGTCTTTAATAAGTCAGTCGCTAACAGCCCGTTGGGAACATAATTTTAAAAATCCTCTCTTACGACAGGGAAAGATATTTCATCAAATGGACGAAACACGACCAAAGCACATCGGCATAGTTCCATCGAAATAAACTTAGTCATGCTTAGCTATGTTTAGTCCATCGAAGTAAACTTTGATGGACTAAACATGGCAGAATAGTTTAATAAGGTGTTCCCTTCACGTGACTCTTTAGTTTCCCAAGGTTACAACGTAGACAAAATGTGTGACTCATTCCTAGGGGTTTCTCTGGTTTTTCTCGCTCAAGTGCCTAACTCGTCCCCAGTCGTTTCAACCACACGCATGTACGCAACCTATTCAGGCAGGATTGTGGCCAGGTCCTAGAGTTCACCCACTCGTTCACACAGCTCTAACAGAGCACGCCGCGTTGCCCTAACGTCACAGCGCTATGGATATCCTCGTGCCCAAAACTCAGGCGTCAGGGGATACCCAGAACACTAAAAGTAAATTATGCAGGAGACTGGGGCACGTAATATGGCGACAGCTGCTAGATGTCACAGTGTTTTGGGTATCCCCTCGTTTTGGATGTCTCCGTACCCAAGCTTTTAAGACATGAGCTGCGGTATTCCCGAGGTTATTTCGTTTGCCGTGACAGTTGTGGGCCACCGTAACTTAACGTGATTTGCGAGATAGAAACGATGACGATACAAGAAGATTGACAGCCTAGTAGTGCCACCTTTAATATCGCCTTTATAAGCTGGTGACCAACATTTTAAATCAGAATAGAACTGAATTGAGTAGAGTTGAAAGTTGAGATTTGAGCTAGTCCCGTTAGTAGGAAGTTGTAATAAGAGAACAAAGCAAGAAATACAAAAATATCAGTTGAGTGTTAGAAAAAGCTTCTAACAAATCTGCATGGCTTTAAACGAATGTTATCTTATGAGCAATAACTCGGAACTGAAATTCGTTTGTGGATGTCGTCTTTTAAAAGAACTTGATCAGCTTTCATGGAGGACTACTCGACT